CTTTAAATGACTTCTGTTGTGATCTGGCGCTATAGAGAAAATATAATTAAATAAAATTAACTTGACCTTCAAGGGTGGCAGGGGGTGCCGTTGGGGGGGTAGGCCTAAAATAATGGCAGGGGAAACACTGCATATATATATGGCACCTAATTTAGTTTTTTTATAGAAGCCAAAGGCTCCTTAATTGTTTTGTTTTTTTGTCTAGAGTCCTGTCCTTAAATATCAAAAGCAAAATCTGCATTTATTTTTGCGCAAAATTAATTCCTCTTAATTTCGAAATATTTATATAAATTTTTTTTAATTTAAATAAAAATAATTAAATGACATTCTGTGTGTGTGTGTATATATATATATATATATATATACACACTGAACAAAATTATAAACGCAACACTTTTGTTTTTGCCCCCATTTTTCATGAGCTGAACTCAAAGATCTAAGACTTTTTCTATGTACACAAAAGGCCTATTTCTCTCAAATATTGTTCACAAATCTGTCTAAATCTGTGTTAGTGAGCACTTCTCCTTTGCCGAGATAATCCATCCACCTCACAGGTGTGGCATATCAAGATGCTGATTAGACAGCATGATTATTGCACAGGTGTGCCTTAGGCTGGCCACAATAAAAGGCCACTCTAAAATGTGCAGTTTCACATACACATACATTCAAAATGCCATCAATAAAATGTACCTGTGTTCGTTGTCCATAACATATGCCTGCCCATACCATAACCCCACCGCTACCATGGGCCACTCGATCCACAACGTTGACATCAGCAAACCGTCTTAGATCTTTGAGTTCAGCTCATGAAAAATGGGGGCAAAAACAAAAGTGTTGCGTTTATAATTTTGTTCAGTGTAATATATATATATAAAATATTTATTTTAAAAATGAGAACAATATAGCCTAACAGAACATTAGCACAAACATATTTACAAGATATCAAAAAAATATATATTAATTAGGTGCCAAAAGTTGTCTGCTTCAACACATCCTGAAAGTGATAACCTTAAATCTGATTCAAATCTATAAGTAGCGGTTTTCAGATGTAACAGAACTTTTCATCTTTTGCCTTTAAAGGGTTTAAAAGAATCCTCAGCACTGGCAAACCGTATCCACCCTAAAATTCCTCGCTGTAACTCAAGCCAGGGTTTTCTGCTCCTTCTCGTGTCATTTCCATCTTTGGCACGCAGTCTGTTCTAGGCACCTCAATGTGTTGTTGCTTTCCTGTTTTACATGTTTTTCTAAAGCCTAGAAGAGACCGCAGTCTACTGATAGACACCGGCTTCCTTTGTAATAACTGTGGCATAAATAGAGAACTAATCCCTGAAATAACATTTCCCAAACAAACCTATAAAACCGGCATTCTTAATGTTAAAAGTTCAAAATATGTCTCTCTTTTAATGTTACATCTTTAAATGTGTTTACAAACAATACTGAAGTCAGACTCACTCAGGCTGACATGCATTGCACGCCCACACTCAAAACACTGCAGCAGTTCTCAAGACACAAGCAGCCTCCTCAGACTACCACAGCAGTCAAACAAGTTTGAAACTCCAGAAAAACAGTTCTGTTTATATAACATATGGTAGTCCAAGTATATAAGGTGCTCTTTAAATTCATAAACGCACTTGCTCCGAGACTGCTGTCAGGCATCTGGATCTCCATAGTAACAGAAAAATTCTTATCAGATTTTTGCTAACGGCCAAAAAGCGGCCAGGTTATAAATGACAGCGTCAAGCCGATCTAAAATGATTCGCAAGCAACTGTCATACGGATTGAATTTGCTAGTATAAATGTGTGCACATATTTATACCATATTCTTGGCCCAGCAGAGGTCGACTGCTGCAAACATCCGCCCATCACGAACTCCAGCTCAGCTGCCCTACGCAAACTTCACTGAAGGTGAATAACACAAGTGAAAGCAACGCGACAACCTAAAGAGCGTGTCACGCTCAGACAAGCGGAAAACTTCTGCTAGGACTCGGTGGAAACTGCCTAACGTTACCTCCGCTGCTTGTGGAAGTTTGCGTCGCTGTCTCCAGACGGCTCTTCGCTCTCCCCGGTCGAGCCGTACTCGTCGTCCTCTACGGTCACTTCTCCGATGCCAGGGGCTCCTCCGACGCTGTCCAGTGGCCGCTCCATAACGGCAGCATGTTCCGCCGTCTCGGTGTTTGGCGTCGGAGCCACTTTGAGTTCTCTCTCTGAGAGAAACGGACTTTTCAAAGTAACCGTTAACGTTCCCAAAACAAGCAGCAGCAGCAGGGATGTGCACACGTTTCCAAACTGAAACCCCCTTTCCATTGGGACAAGCGGCACATGAGTAGTTAGGCAATCACATACCAAAACACAGTGTGAATTTTAAAAACTAGACTATAAAAGGCGTTTTACAATTAAACTCGTAAGCTATTAGATCTCTTTCTGTTGTCCTCCCTTAACGTAAACATGCACTCAACAGCACCATGTTATTCCCTTTATACTTGACGTTGGCCGTGCCGTGGTAACGTCAAGCCCCGCCCCGTATCCAAACGCCCATTGGCTGCGCATGGAAGCGAATCCCTGCAGTGTGTGCTGATTGGTGCTAGCGCTTGTCAATCTTCCCTGCTCGTCTACTAAGCAGATTTTGATTGCGTCCTACAACTGTCTTTTACAGTGCGGTCTGTTGACGTGGTCGGCTCTCCAGCCGCTTCTTTCCATTGGCCGCTTTTCTTGTCACTCAGAAATATAAGCGGAAGGAAAGGCAGCCCAGAGCGGGTATGGCCGTCTTCTGAAGTATTTCATTGGCGAGACCGTAGAGTTTTAGCCAATAAAACAATAGTGTTGGCTCCAACATGTTTCATTGGTATGTTTACGGAAGCCGCGAAAGTATTCTAGTCAACCCATTGGTCTGACAAGCTGTCAATCGTAATGATCGTTACAGTGATTTCTAACGGAGGGGCGTTGCTAATTCGTTCTGAGCGAAGCTTGATTGGGTAAAAAGTACAAGGATGGAAACACCGACGTGGCCGCTTGTTTGCGGATAAAAGTTAGGTTATGTTTGACACGGTTTTATTTCCGGGACTTTTGGTATGAAGAGTGAGGTGAGCATTGGTTGCGCAAATTGTAGAAAGTTCAGTATTCTCCTTTAGTTTTATTCAATTTTACATTAAGTCACGCCAATTATAGCCTAACAACCATAACACATTTACAAATAGTTTAGGCAACTTGAGTATTCCCGTTCACTTGTTGTAGTCGTGAAGGCTGGCCATTGCGTAATGTATATGGCGCCCTCTTGTGGTTTGTTAAATAATCATCTTTTATCCCATGTTTGACGTAACTGAGCCATGCTGGTCAAATAAAATGTCAGATGCAAAATAACTAACACAATAGTTTATAGCTGATTGGTCCAGTTTTGATATTTATTTTCAATCTGGAGCACAATATTTGAAAACCTCAGTATCACAGTAAAATTGGTTTTTGGTTTTTGATGTAGTACCATACCTAAAAATCACAGTGACTTCAGTGAAGAGTTTTCATTAACAGAACTGAAAGATCAATAAAAGAACAGAAGATAAGGCTTTCAGCTGTGCCACCAACTCACTGCTGCTTTCATCCCTCGACAACACTGTGCTCGTGGCCACAGGCACATCAAAAAATTATACAAAAACAAAATCAATATCAAAAGCCGAGTGGCATTTCACAACTTCAAATAGTGTATTTTGTCCAGAGGCAGAATGCTCTGAAATGATTGATCACTGAACTAAACCAACCGCTGTGTGCTGGCAAAGGCCACTAGTTTCGCTTGAGGTTTCACATTGGAGCGTCTGAGGAAATCGGTTTCTGATTCAAAATGATCATATGAACCTACAGAAACTATACTAACCATGGGGTGTGATCGAGATTTTCTTTAAAGCTGCATGCATTGGTAAGGCCAGCAACTATGCTTTGTGAAAATATACATTTATGGAGGCACAGATGCAAGCCACAATATTCATACATTTTTACAGACAGCCATGTAACACAACATTCATGGCTACGTAAAGAAGCACAGAAGGCAAGCAGACACTGTAGATGTACAGTATGGATAGTCACCGTAGACTCCAGCCCAACATAAGCAGAATTGCCCAGACAGAGGGTATGAGAGGAAAAACAGGAATATCTGAAAGGTCAGAGAATCTAATGTTGCATTGTTGTGTAAAAATCCATATTCCATGTGCACAGCATCATGAGAGGTACTGATCAGACGTCTGATGGTTTCTGTAACAGAAAATGTAGGGAAAGAGCTGCCAGAGTCTGTGTATTTGAACGGCACTTGAGGTGTGCGTGCTGGTCTACTGCAAGAGCAGAGGAAGGATCTTCTTAGTTGATAGGATGGTCTCTAGTCTCGACACTCCCGTCCTCCATACCGAAGTACACCCGCTCAGCCATCCCCACAAACAAACCCGTCTCAACCACACCTTTAAAAAAAAAAAAGAGAAAGACAATTAATTTGTGCTACAATTCAACAGTTTGCAGTTGGAAATAAATATTTTATTCAGCAAAGGCATGTTATATAGTTCAAAAGTCCCAGTAAAGACAGTATTTACAATATTTATAATTTTACCAAAGATTTATATTGCAAATATATGCTGTTTTTTGGAACTTGCTATTCATCAAAAAATCCTAAAAAAAAAAATGAATCTGCGTTGTTTAGGTCTTGGAACATCTAATGATGCTGAAAATTCAGCTTTGCCATCACAGGAATGGATTACATTTTAAAATATATATTTAAATAGAAAACAGTCATTTTAAATTGTTATAATATTTCACAGTATAACTGTTATTACATTTTTGATCAAATAAATGCAGCCTTGGTAAGCAGAACAGACTTCTTTAAAAGAAAGAAAACAATAATAATTATTTAACAATAGAGAAAAGAAAGGTGTTCATCAGTACTGACCTGGGATCATCTTGATGGCTGTGCTGACCTCTTTCCAGTTCTGTGCATGCTCAAACTTCCAATCCAGGATGAAGTTACTGTTATCAGTAACCACTGGACCCTAAAGTTAAATATCGTAAAGAAAAAAATCAGATGACTGGACCATCAATTTCATAGAAGCCCACTACTTTCCAAGCTTAAAGGGGACATATGATGTTGCTAAAAAGAACATTATTTTGTGTATTTGGTGTAATGAAATGTGTTTATGTGGTTTAAGGTTCAAAAGACACATTCTTTTCCACATACTGTACATTATTGTTTCTCCTCTATGCCCCGCCTTTCAACGAAACACAGCGTCTTCACAATATGGCGGCAGCAACATTAAAGTTACGCCTTCTTCCTTTGTGTGAACATTTGGGCGGCGTTATGCAAATCTTCCCACATAGTGAGGTAGATATGTGGGGGCGTGTTAGAACGAGCCGTTTTAGGAGGGTGTGGTTGACTCTTAACTTTTATAAAGAATATCTCTTTGGGTTTGAGACTTTAGTCTTTGCAACTTCAGGGATCTTATCTATTCACAAACAGCTTGTAACACTCCAAAGAGAAAGGAAAACCTGAAATCGCATCATATGACCCCTTTAATGAGATGATTACGAGGAAGTGCAAGGAACACTGCTACTTTCTGGGAAAATCAAGGTAAGAAAAATACAAGTCGAGATAAGGAGAATGTCAAAAAATATTATTATTATATTATATATATATATTGCAGAAAAGCAAACGTAATGAGTTATTTTCTATAATAAATCAAGCACTTTTAGTTGATACGGTTATTCAAATAAAACCAAATAAAAAGGAGTTAATATTTTAGGGCAGGACATTGTAATTTTTTACGAATAATACAATTAAGTAAAAAAAAATTTAATTAATACAACTGTAATTCAAGATCCATTAGTAAGACTCTCTTACAGCTTTACTGACTGCCATCCTCAGCACAGCCTCTCCTCCAAAGCGCCGGGCAATGGCTCTGGACACAGGCACATACGCCATGGGAATGACCTCCACCGGCACACCTTTCTTCCACTGCTGCCCCAGGGCCTTCGAGTCCTTCCTACCCACACAAGCAATAAAATGACATCATACAAACACTTCTGAACTTCTAGTGGAAGACTCTCTCATATAATTATAGCGATCACACACTGGGCAGTGATCAGCAGTATGATCAACAGTAATTATGGGATGCTAAATATATACCAAATATTGTAGTTCAAACAATAGCGCCCAGTGCTAGCAATGCAGTGGGTTGCTTTCCCGGGAATGAAATGAAGTCACTTTGGATAATAAGACACCACATGCATACCTATAGTCTGCGATGACAATGAAGTGTTTGGCACAGCCAGCCACAATCTTCTCCTGGGTTAAGCATCCTCTATTTTGAGGGAGGAAAAGAAAAGGACGTGACGCTAGACCTGATGACACCTCGGGGTTTCACACAAATGAAAATGAAGAGAAACGGAAAAAATACTTGAATTAAACAGATTTTCCAATCATACCCTCCTCCTTTTATCAGTGTCAATGCAGCATCAACCTCATCGGCTCCATCAATCGCTACATCCAGCTAAAAGACAAAAAAAAAAAAAAAAAGTGTACTCGGGTGATAAATTAAACCAGTCATAGTAAAGTTCTTTGGCAAAAAGCTGTTACTTGATATTTCAGCTCAACTACATTTTATCAAAAGTCAAATCATCCATTTAGTTGGCCTGTCCAACATAGCATTGTTTTACTAAATCTGTCCATTCTATAGTGTTATTTGAGCTGTTAAGTTGTCTAAATCATCTTTTTTTACTCTTCCTTCCCATTCCAGCTGCCCGTCCTCATGCAGTCTCGGCCCAAACTCACCTCAGGATGTCTGTCTAAATCAGACAGAGTGAGACCATGCTGTAGAATCAGCTGACGGGCCTGGATCAACACATTTCAAATCAGTTAAAAACACAGGTATTATCAAGTGTCATAGCTCCAAATTAAGTTTTGTACTGACCTGGAAAGACGTAGGAACACACACAATATTCAGCTTCTCCTGTCTGACCCTCTCAGCTAGAAAGAAAACATCATCCTTTAGCAATTATCGTGGTTGAGAGTTTGAAGCATGAGTGGATAATATTAGATGAAATGTCTTACTCAGCCTGTCCACAGCATAGACAATAGTTGAGCCACTGCCCACTCCAACTACCTGATTATTCTGAAAGAAAAATGAAAAGCCAAATTTTATATAATTATAAGTACAACCAAATATAAGCATAACCAAAGAAAACAGTCACACATTAGGGAAACACAACACTGATAGTAAGGTCTGAATTCATTATGTCTTTCTACAAAGGGTCAGTAAAGGAGGTCTTTAACCTTCAAGTTTATTTATCATGTGTACAATGTCAGTGACAATTTGCACATTGAAATGCTTAGGTTGAGGCTCCTGCATCCTACCTGAGTGCAATACAATATAAGTGCATAATACAAACCAAAAATAAAAAAAATGTTTAAAGTCTTGTAGTATGTGCAGTCTGTTTTTTAAAGTGCAAATGATCTTCGTAAAGAAAATAAAAGGTCCTCATGAGGTATGTGTGTTGTATACATATTTGTAAGGAGTGTAGTGAGCATTACAGAGTGCTTAGAGTTCTGATGGCCTACAGGTAAAAGCTGCTCCTCAATCTGCTGGTTCTGGATTGTATACTCCTGTACCGCCTGAAGGCAGTTTGATAAACAGGTTGAGTGCTGAAATATTTCTGGAGCTGAAATAGTACAGCATGGCGCTAGAAACAAAAAGCTCATGGGTTCGATTTCTAGAGAAATATAGAGAACGCCCATAAAATGTAACCAAACCAAGTTTATTGGAGCAGTTTTATTTTAAGATAATTTTCAATGAGGTATATAATTTACACACATAAAAATAGCATTTTTGTATTTAAACATGTTACTAAACATATCTTGAAAAAACAAAAGTGTGCCTTTAATGACCACTGCTTTGGAAATGCAACACCTCAGCCAAGCCTCTGGGACTCTGTTTTTTAAAGTATGCATGCAAACGTCAGAAGTTTGCAGAACTCAAAGTTCAAACTGCTAGTCTACTTTGTACCACTGATTGCTTCATCTTAACAATCATTCGACTGACACAGACAGCACCCGTTAGACCACAAACAAAGCTATTTCCAAACATGCTAATCGCTTAACGTTTAACTTGAGCAGAATTAGCATCCTTATATCACCTAGCTTACTGTATGTGTAAAGCAACCCGCTGCGTAAATAAACACAGGTGGCTCGACTGATGCCACCCGAGCTACTCTCACTTACTAGCTGACTTCACTACAGTCTAACATGTAGCATCCCAGCTAGCATGAAGTGCCACTCACTATGTACTGTAACTGTCAAAGCAGTTAGCCATAGCAAATATAAAACACCAGTAACGTTGCTGTCGGTCTGTTGTCGCGTAATTTAATAACGCGAGACACATCGACATGCATCGTTTTTGCTACGCATGTTCACTCACGCCTCCCAAAGTGTTTAATGCGCCCGTTTATCCAGTTAAACTAACGTAAGTAGTGCTAATGTGTCACAACGAAGGTAAATACACAATCTCACCTGTATGTGGTTATCCACAGCTGCATAAGCTGCCAGTTTTTTGGCCTCCTCAGCCATGAGAGTGCCGTGGTGCCGCCTGCTGCTGCTGCTGCTGCTGCTCCGCACGTGTTTCCCCGGCAGAGAGAGGAGGAGAGATCTGCGGCTGCTCACTGCAAACTCAAGCCACCTCCGCGGCCTCATCACTCTAACGGCAGACCGCCGGAGATCTCCAAAATGGGGCGTGAACTCCAAAAGTGGGCAGAACCTCTCAAATGGGGCGGGGTCTCCTCGCGCAAACACTTTCACCATTGGCTCTGGCTCCAGCCAATTGTTATTGACTTATATTTCAAAATCAGACTTTATAAGTTAAACATTGTTTCTAGCAGTGTTTGCAATTTGGGGATTTTGTCGCCAAATTTAGCTACTTTCTCATTGTAGCTGCGACTTTTATTCTTTTTTTTGCGACAAACAGCTATTTTAGCTATATTTAAATAAAACGTTTTTTTATGTAACATGACACACAACTTCTTCTGACTTCGTATTCCATCCAAATCCTTTGCATGCATGTTTCTCATACTCCCAGCATCCTTTAATCACTGCAGAAGCAAAGTTTGTCTCATCCTGCAGTCTTAACCAATAGCATTAATTGCAGTAGTTTTCATTGATCCTATGCTAATTCTTAGTGCTCTATGTTGCATTCTATCTAATTTCTCTCAATTTGCTTTTTGCATTTTGTTTCAATATGCTCTATATGCTTCCTCCAAGAATATTTTTCATCCATCCACAGTTCCAAATATTTAAATTCCTTAGCCTTTTCTATATTTTCATTATGTAATGACAATCTCGTTTTATCATTTGTTTTCTTTTTTGTAAATATCATATAACACATCTTTGTTTGTGAAATTTTTAGACCCCAATTAAAAGACCAATTTTCAACATTTTGAATTGCTTCCTGAATCTTGTTATTATTATACTTAACATTTTTACTTCTTTTCCAAACTACACCATCATCAGCATATAAGGCTAAATGAATCTCTGAACCTGCATCATTAAACATATCATTAATCATAATATTGAATAAAATAGGACTGACCACGCTTCCTTGAGGAACTCCATTATTAATATTGAAAACATCAGAATTTTCTGGTCCTACTTTTATCCTACTACTAAAAACTCTGAACCCAATTAAAAAGTCTTCCACTTATTCCTAGATTACTCATTTTAATCAATAACCCCTCTCTCCACATGGTATTGTATGCTTTTTCGATATCAAAATAAACTGCCATCATTATTTCCTTCATACTTACTGTTTTTTCTTTTTCATTGCTTATTTTAACCATAGCATCTGCAGTAGACCTACCTTTTCTAAAACCACATTGATGACTGTTAATTAACCCTTTTTTCTCTAAAAAAAAAAATGTTAACCTTTGGATAATCATTTTTTCCATCCACTTGCAAAAATGTGATGTTAGGGCAATAGGCCTATAGTTTTCAGGATTTCTAGGATCCTTCCCAGCTTTTTGAAATGGTAAGATTATTACTCTTTTCCACTGTTTAGGGACTTCACCTGCATGCCAAATCATGTTAAATAACTCCAAGGTAACCTTTAGTGCCTCTTCTGGCAGATGATGGAACATTGTATAGATCAGTTGATCTTGTCCTGGGGCTGAATTTTTAGTTCCTATAATAGTTCTTTTTAATTCCATCATATTCAATTCCAAATCCATAGGTGCATTCTCATTTTTCTTTTTATTTAATAGCAGTCTACTATCTCTTAAATTTTCTTCTTTCTTTTTCTTATGATAATCAGTGAGATGACTACCATTATGTATGCTTGAGAAAACCTTACCTAATAAATTGGCTTTTTCCTTCTCTGTTACAGCAATTTCATCTCCGTTTGACAGCACTGGCATGGTTTTATGAACTCTTTTCCCACACATCACCTAGATCAGTTGCTCTACCAATATTTGAGCAAAATTCTCTTCACACATTTCTTTTTGTAGATTTGATCGTTCTTCCCACAATAGCTGCTTTTCTTTTGTATTCTTCCAATTTATCCATATTCATGTTTTTCCTGAAATTTTCCTGAGCACGATTCCTTTCTTTAATTGCTATAGAACATTCATCATTCCACCATGGACCTATTTTTCTGTTTTGATTTATAACCTTCTTAGGAATGTATTTTTCGGCAGCATTTGTGATCATTGAGCTGACTTTATTTACACAAATATCTACATTACCATTAATTTGTATATATTGAGCTCTCTTACACCGTTCTTTAAAATCTTCCCAATTTGCTTTGGCAAAACACCATCTGTAAATATAATTATTTGGTTGTCTATATACAAACCCGATTCCAAAAAAGTTGGGACACTGTACAAATTGTGAATAAAAACAGAATGCAATGATGTGGAAGTTTCAAATTTCAATATTTTATTCAGAATACAACATAGATGACATATCAAATGTTTAAACTGAGAAAATAATTCCAATATACACTACTTTACATATGAATGCCACAAATTTTGTTCCATCCACTAACAGAGTCTCTGTTTAATTTTGCATTGATGAAAGGATTCTCTCATAAAATTTTGAGCTCCTGTCTTTTCTTTTTCTGCAAGTTTATTACCATAACTTTGTCTAGGCTTGGTTACGTCTGAAACTTTCTTTAGAGCTTCTGCATAAGAGACATTACTCAGAATTTTGAGTTTCTGAGCTTCTTTAGCCTGTATTTGCTTCATGCATCCTTTATAAGCTGCACTATGTTGTTCACCACAGTTGCAACATTTCACAGGGACATCTTTCCCACATTTCCCATATTCGTGCTCACCTCCACATCTAGCGCATCTTTCTTTACCCTTACATTGGCTGGCTATGTGACCCAGACGTTGGCATTTGAAACATCTTAGAACTGGAGGAATATATTCTCTCACTTGATAACAGAAAAAACCTAGCAAAACGTTGTTTGGCGTCTTATCCTCAAATTCAAACATGACTGACAACGTTTCTATTTTATTTCCATTTTTTTATTGATTATCCTTTTGACATCTTTAACTTTCCCCCCTCTCAATTCTATTTTGATTTCATCCAGACTCAGAGGAACTCCCGATATAACTCACTAAAGCTAAGCAGGCCAGAGCCTGGTCAGTACACTGGTGGGAGACCATTTGTGAAAATGTAGCTTGCTGCTGCAGCTAGTTTTAGTGCAGCAAGCAGGGGGTGATTATTCCCTGGCTTGAATGGGTGCAAAAGTCCTAGTGTAATGACGCGGACTTTAGACTGTGGAAAGGAGCATCCTGCAGATGAGGCATTAAACTGACCTCCTGACATTCTGTTGTCATGAATTCCCCACCTAAGTTACGAATTTGACTTTGTTTTCTTTTTGAAGCTGGTAGCACATTCTGATGGCTGGTAGGCCGTTGTGGAAAAACTAGCTTGGTGCTGGAGCTAGTTTTAGTCCGGCAAGCAGGGGGTGCTCATTCCCTGACTTGTATGGGTGCAAAAGTCTTAGTATAACGAATCGTACTTCAGAATGTAAAACAAAGCAAACTTCTGATAAAGCGTTAGACCGGCACCTGTAAAAAGGAGCGTCGTTCAGGTGAGGCATTAGTCAGATTTACATATTCATGTTCCCAGCAGTTTTCTAATACTCTTTTTACTGGGTGTATTTCTGAATGCCCTTTTACAGTAGCCCAATACACCAGTTTCAGCTTCAACCTGCGAAGCTCCAGTGGCATCTCATTCATTTCAACCTGTAAAGCTGATAGGTCTACAGGAGAAGTGTTGAATGCTCCACAGCATAATCTCAATGTCTGAACAGAGATGCTGAAGCTGTTCCATAAATCATACTCCCATAATCTATAAGTGCACAGTAGGCTATATTCTTTTTAGAGACTGTCCATCAGCTCCACTGCCAACACAATGGAATGCGTGCCACACTAGCATACGTGCACTAGCAGAGTCAGCTCAACTGAATGGACAGTAAGCGAGATATTAAAGGACACTCAAAATAACCAAAATAATTCAGGTGTTTTCGTAACAGGCTCGTGCTGTTGGACCCAATGGCTGAGCAAAGTACAGTAGGGATTCCTATTCTGCTTGACTTGAGTCGGATCTTTTCAAATCGGTTGCACAAACCGTTTAAGTCAGATCTTTTCGTCCTATCAGACGAAAGGTATTTTTAAGGTAACCTTAAAAACTGGATAGCATAAATATCATAAATTACAGATAATGTTTCGACTAGTGATGGTAAAATTAAACTTTCTGAAGCAACGAGGATACAAATGTATTTAAACTAGGTTTATTACTCATCCATAGCGTTTCAACATTTGTGGTCCAAAAAGTGAAGCGGACTGCTTGGATTTTGAAGGAATAAAAAGTATTCTATTATTATTATTATTATTTGTTTATTTTATTTTTAACACGCATACGAAATTTGGTTTTAATAAATAACATTTTATTAACAACATCCAACCGAGAGATAGGACCTAACATTTATTTATTTCAGAATGACTTGCCTGTTAATAATTAACACCTCTGTTTTTTCAGAATTTAGCAGTAAGAAATTACTCGCCATCCAGTTTTTTATACAGACTATGCATTCTGTTCGTTTTTCAAATTGGTAAGTTTCGCCGGGCTGTGAAGAAATATAGAGCTCAGTATCATCAGCATAACAGTGAAAGCTAACACCGTGTTTCCTGATGATATCTCCCAAGGGTAACATGTAAAGTGTGAAAAGTAATGGCCCTAGTACTGAGCCTTGAGGCACTCCATACTGCACTTGTGATCGATATGATACCTCTTCATTCACTGCTACGAATTGATGACTGATTGATGGCGGTCAGATAAGTACGATTTGAACCATGCTAATGCACTTCCACTAATGCCAACAAAGTTTTCTAGTCTATTCAAAAGAATGTTGTGGTCAAAAGTGTCGAACGCAGCACTAAGATCCAGTAGCACTAATAGAGAGATACAACCACGATCAGATGATAAGAGCAGGTCATTTGTAACTATAATGAGAGCAGTCTCAGTACTATGATACAGTCTAAATCCTGACTGGAAATCCTCACAGATACCAATTTTCTCTAAGAAGGAATATAATTGTGAGGATACTACCTTTTCTTGTATCTTGGACCGAAAAGGGAGATTCTAGATTGGTCTGTAATGAACAACTGCTGGTGTGGACTTGGTTGGAACTACTACTACTATTTTTTT